AAAACCTTCAAGAGATTTAAAGATACAAGTAAGAGAGTTTGGTGAAGTAAGGAGGACACGGTAATACCAAATAATGTACTTACTGAACCATTCAGACCTTGCCGACACCAAATAATGTACTTACTGAACCATTCAGACCTTGGAACTTAATGCTGTATAAAACAGCTAAAGTGCAAGAAGTCTCCTGGCAAAGGCGGTATTCATCCGTAATTTTTAATTAGAATGGGACCAAAAGACAAGGAACCCATGCTGACGCTTTACAACAANAGTGGAATTCTAACTGGAGTAAAAAATGGCCTCACCTCACACTACAATCTAATCAAGAGTATGTGCTCGACACAAGACAAATGTGAAATAATCAGATTAAATGTTTGGAAATGTCAAAACCACTTCAAGGTATATGCAGTCTAAAGCCACCCCAGAAATGTCCAAACTTTGACTTTCTGAACATCTCACACAAAATTATAGTATTGGGAGACTTCAACGCCCACTCCACCAGATGGGGCTACAAGGATACAAACATAGCTGGAAAGGAAATCGAAGACATGCTAAACAGCAACTCTCTGGAACTTATTTACAGCAATGAGGATCCGGCTACATATTTGCACTAAAATGGATCCAGAACAACTCCTGATTTACTCTTGGCTTCAAGCGACATCAGTGAGCATACACACCGCAAAATAATTTACGATCCTGGTTCTGGTCACAAACCAGTCATTGCTAGTATTAACATCGGCATGACATGGAAAGTGCCAACTAAGCTATCATGGAACTTCAAGAAGGCTGACTGGTCAAGATTCACAAACCTTTTAAACAATGAACTTCACACAAGTCCCCTCAACTTTATCCAACATCTTGACAAACTTTGCACTGATATCACGAATATCATGATCAGGTGTGCAAATAAAACTAATCTCCGAGGCAAGACAAAACACTATCGAGTGTTTTGGTCTAAGCACCTTGAGAAACAGAAAAGAAAGATGGACGCCCTTCGCAACACTGCTGATCAGACTGGAAGAACGTCTGATCAGACTGGAAGAACGGAAGACGTACAAGCCTGGAGACAGCTGTCTTAAGGCAAGCCATCTTACAAGCTAAACGGACTTCCACCGACAACTTCAACTCTAATATCAACTATCAAAGTGATAGCCAACGCACTTTCAAATTCCTGAAAATCCTCCAAAATAACAGAGAAAGACCCACGATGTCTTGAAATCCTCCAAAATAACAGAGAAAGACCCAAGAAAGAACCAGTACTCTTAAACAGCAAATTGCTTACCACCGACACTGAAATAGCTAACTGCTTTGCGAGGTTCTATTCACACAAGCAAAAGAAAAACCATTTTGTCAAAAAACCTTCAAGAGATTTAAAGATACAAGTAAGAGAGTTTGGTGAAATTAAGGAAGACGCAACACCAAATAATGTACTTACTGAACCATTCAGACCTTGCGAACTATATCCTGCTATAAAACAGCTAAAGTGCAAGAAGTCTCCTGGCAAAGGCGGTATTCATCCGTAATTTTTAATTAGAATGGGACCAAAAGACAAGGAACCCATGCTGACGCTTTACAACAAAATCTGGGAGACCAGTCTCGTACCTAACAAATGTAAAGTTGCCATACTAATACCAGTACTAAAAAGGGCAAAGACCCTAGCAACTTTGACAACTATAGGCCTATCTCCCTCACAAGCGTGCTGGCTAAACTTATGGAAAGAATGGTTAACAGGAGACTGACCTGGTTCCTTGAGACTAACAATATTCTTAGGAGTGAACAAGCATTTGTTAGGCCACAGAGATCAACAAACCAACAAGTAGCTACTTTCTCTTAACACATCAAAGATGCCCTTGATCCTAAAAATACCCTTACAGCTGTTTTCGTCGATTTCAAATCAGCATATGACTTAGTATGGAAAAAGAAGCTAATTCTAAAATTGGCAAAGATTGGTATTATTTTCGTAGACTTCAAATCAGCATATGACTTAGTATGGAAAGTGATTTCAAATCAGCATATGACTTAGTATGGAAAGAGAAGTTCTTCAAATCAGCATATGACTTAGTATGGAAAAAGAAGCTAATTCAAAGGACTTGCACAGGGAGCTGTCACAATCTGCACTCTTTTCAATGTCTTCATCGATCTCATGGCATCAAGTGCTTATTTTACGCAGATGATCTTGTTCTATGGAATTCCGCCCCTAAGAAAAACGCTAAGTAGAGGACAGAAAGTGCTCTTAATAGTGCACTTAAACTACTTGTGCGACAACAATGGAATGGTAATTAACACCGCAAAAAAATCGCTCTTAATAGTGCACTTAAACTACTAGCAAACTGGTGCGACAACATGAGTGCACTTAAACTACTAGCAAACTGGTGCGACAACAATGTCATGGTAATTAACACCGCAAAAACTGCATTCCAAACATTTTTTTGGCCCGTCACAGCATAAACCCGCTTCTAAGATACAAGGAAATTAACACCGCAAAAACTGCATTCCAAACATTTTCTTTGGCCCATCACAGCATTAAACCGCTTCAAAGGTAAAGGATAACTATAATAGAAAAAACCAATGAGTTCACATATCTCGGAATGACGTGCAGAACGCGTCTCCAATAGACTGAATGTCCTGAAGCGTCGTGCTGGTAAGTATGGGGCTGTGCGCGCTCAACTCTAAACACCACTTACATATGGGGCTGTGCGCGCTCAACTCTCAACACCACCTACAAGGCCAATAGACTGAATGTACTGAAGCGTCTTGCTGGTAGCGTATGACTAGACTGAATGTACTGAAGCGTCTTGCTGGTAGCGTATGGCGCTAAAAGTCATATTGCTAAAATAGCAGATCGAGTCTCCAATAGACTGAATGTTCTGAAGCGTCTTGCTGGTAGCGTATGGGGTTGTGCATGCTCAACTCACAACACCACTTACAAGATGTTTATTCAGCCATTAATGCTGTATTGCTGTGAGCCATTAATTACAGCCACAAAGGTTAATCTCAAACTATTCGAGAAGGCACACAATCAAGCATTACTACTAATTACTGGAGAGATAAAATCAACACCCATTGATGCGATGTTCCTAATTATAGGAAGCACCAAAATTTGTTCCCTTATCAAAGAAAAGGCCTTGATCCTGTATGAGAAGCTACTGCGCATTCCCATGGACAAGTTCTTCAGCACCTATGAGAATAGACCANTCAACACCCATTGATGCGATGTTCCTAATTATAGGAAGCACCAAAATTTGTTCCCTTATCAAAGAAAAGGCCTTGATCCTGTATGAGAAACTACTGCGCATTCCATGGACAAGTTCTTCAACACCTATGAGAATAGACCAATACATCTGAAAACGCAATCTGGTCTAATACGGAAAGCCATAGAACTGAAGAAGGTATTACAAATCGATGACAAACCAAAAAGCCTCTCTCTCCCGATGAACCCATTACCAAACACTGATGTAGTGTGCTGCACCCAACTGCTCGACTTCTTCAGGAAATCAAACACCCCTCCAGAGCAAATGCGCTCACTGGCCCTTGAGACAATCAATGTCAACTATCCTGCAGATCAGTGGCTTCAAGTCTTCACTGATGGGTCATACATAGAAAAACAAGCAAACGTTGGTGCAGGTGTCTATTCTGAACTCTTCTCTTTCTACGCAGCAGCGGAACATAATAGATCCGCTTTTGAAGGAGAAATAGAGGCCATTAGGATAGCGCTATGGCAATTACGTTCCCTGGATACGAAATGCCTAAAGCGGTGATACTTTTGGACTCACAGTCAGCACTAAACTCAATTGATAAACAGAGTGACACCCAAAACAGCTGAGTTAAAGGAATGTCGAAAAATCTATGAGCTGTTGAGAGAGAAAAACAAAACAGTGGTCCTACAATGGATTCCTGGTCACTGTGGCATTAAAGGCAATGAGTTTGCTGACACACTTGCTAAAAAGGGGACAACGATTTTGCAATGCATGGACCGGCCGATGTCTTTCCACACAATGAAGGCCTTAATCAGGAGAGAATTCCATACCTCAAGGTGAAACGAAATTAAAGCTCGAACAAAGGAGAAACATTCGACAGTGCCACTCTCCGACATAGCCGACTGGCCACGAATCGAAACCGTTGATGAGTTTAAACTACGTACCGGACACGATTGCTTGGCAAAACACCTTCACAGATTGGGAGTATACACTCAACCCACATGCCCTCTCTGTAACCTACAGGAGTAAATGGAGAAGACCCACCTGATTTGGTGTCCAGCGCTAAAGGCAAGGACGGAAAGCCAGAGATACTGGGAAGCAAGAAGACAGCTAATGAGGTGCTATTAATTAACTGCTTTAAATGTACCTCCCCCCTTGGGGGGAGTTGAAGTCAAAGATTAAGGGCTAATGATAAATATCATAAAGCCTGCCATTTGAAATAAATGAATACATTTTCAAATTTTGTTTGCTTTTCATCTATTTCATATTATTCCTTTTGATATCTGACGTTTGGTAGAACTATCTTAACAAATGATATATTTATTTATTGATATATGCAAAAAACCTTGCATTTTGCTTCATATAACACATACCTTCACAAATTGCCCAACTAAGATACACGTTAACATATCGATATATTTCAGTTATAGCTTGTTTTAAAAAAANTTGTTAAAGTTGTTTACATGCTACTAATATTAATTTTGAGTAGTCAAAACCAAAGAAGGACGCAAATACTGCGCCTGTAAAATAAATAAAGCAACCAGGGTAGAAATTTTGACCAGACCAATTATCGGTCTGAATTTCACATTTTCGCACTTTTTGAATGAGATTTTCATTGAGTAATTTTTTTGCTCGAATGTGCATTAATTAATAATCGATAAGAAACTGCTGTGTATCTAATGCACTTATACGATTTTGGTACAACTAAATATCGAAAGTGTAAAAGGACAACAACTTCGACATTTTGATAATTGCAATATAAATAAGATTTTGATAAAATCAATCAACGCTATGTTATACACATCGCCAACGTCTTGAACTTGGAATGGCCAACTAGGCATTTTGTGATCAACAAGTTTCACTTTATTGCTACTTCAATAAAATTTATTATGATTCAAAACATGATGTTAAAATAAAATAAAGTAGAAGTAGATATATTATGAATACGTAGGCAATTGTGTATTATCCTGTGTAATGGCATGCTAATTGTTTTGACTTCTTCCGGATGTTGAACACTGCTTGCACAGATTTTCTTTAAAACAATTTCTATTTTAAGTGCTTGAAATGGTCGAATGCTCTTGTGAGCATAAATCATTGAGAGATAGAGAGAATTGGAGTGGCCTGCTGAATTAAAGTTTACTTCTTTCACTTTCCATCTGTTTGTTTAAATGCGCGCATTACCGTTTTTACCATTTTTAGTCTGATGACTGCAGTCACTTATTATTTGATTTGTCGTTTGAGTAGAATTATGCTGGCGGCATATGAATATAATTAGAAATTATAAGTTGAACTAATTCAGACAATTTGAGCCAGACTGAATGGCAATTCATCATCGGCCAACAGAATTCCACTAATTAAAANCAGAGACAATTATCTGCTTAATTTTAAGATGCATTGCACTTTCACCACTACGCTTATTTTATATGAATACCAAGTTAAACTCGCATTTTTATAACGACCTAAAATACTAATGTTTGTAAGGACTGTCGATCAAAAGTCCTTAAGGGTGTATTCTGGTCTAGAGACATAAATTTCAGGTCATTTTTGAAGTGGTGTAAAAAAAGCAAGCAATATTTTTATTATCATTTTTATGTATTATTTATTCGCATTAAGAGCATACAATAAAAAATAAAATAAGTAAAAAAATTAAAACTTCGTTAGTTATCAGCTGATGAATTGGGGCGTCTCAAAAATATGATGCGCTACCATACCCACGATTTTAAATCTTCTAGCAATCTGAGATAAAAAATAAAAAGAAAAGCATAGATGAACTGTTACAGATAGTCATAGACATCAAGTGCTTACTTTACGTAGACGTTCTTTTTCCATGAGATTTCGCTCAAAAAACGCTCCAAAAACGCGGCAAAATAGATAGGTTATTA